AAAAAAAAAAAAAAAAAAAAAAAAAAAAAAAAAAAAAAAAAAAAAAAAAAAAAAAAAAAAAAAAAAAAAAGAAAGAAAAAAAAAAGAAAGTGAGAAGGAAATAATACTTGCTAAGTCTGGTCATGTGACTTACTTCATAATTCTATCCCATATTGTATTAATTAGACAAATGTTTTGTTGGTTATGGAAGTATTCATTCAGTAGAAGAGACAGGTTCCATGACGAACAATAATAATGGAGAATTCTTAGCATAACAAATTAAACAAATTATTAAAAAAATTGGTTTAGAAAAGGTTGCTACAATTATTAGTGACAACTGGTCTAATATAAAACTTGCTTGAAAATTGGTTACTAATTAATATAAGCATATTTTAAATCTTAGATGTATAGTACATACTATAAACCTTATTACTAAAGATATTCTCAAGCATGAATTTGCACTTCAGCTAGTTAAAAAAGCTAATTTAATTGTCAAATATTTTAATAAATCATATGTTGCAAGTAATATATTAATGATTTATACAATATTATTGGTGGTAAACTTAAATATTATATTGAAACTAGATAGATTACATTTCATGAATGCACATCTTTGATTATATATCTTAAACAGTACTTAAAAAAAATTAAAGATAATTTTGTATATCAAATTAAAAATAATAAAGTTATTACAATTTTAAAAAGCTGTGAATTTTTTGATGACATGTAGTACTTAACAGAAATATTCAACTAATTAAATTTGCAATTCTTAAAGTAAAAGGAAGCCAATCCAATCTTGCTGATTGTTATATTTCTCTTCTTAAAGTTGGTGTTACAATTAATAATTACTGCAAAAGAAATACTATAAATTTAGAAATTATTGTGACCAAATATTTAATAAACAATATATAGAATTCAATAATCCAAATTACCTTCTAGTATTTTTTTTTATATTCTGCTTATAAAGAAGCTGAACTCAAGTTTGAAATATTTTCTGCAATTGCGTATCATAATGGCACATTATAGAAATCTTTTGGAAAGTCAAAAGAAAGCTTTGGATTATTAATAACACAATTACGGAAGTATAAAATGCAAGAACATTCTGATGGAACACCAAATGCATATGCAATGCCTTATACATCTAATCAAAATACTCCATTAAGTTGGTAAACAATATGTGAAGTAAATCTTAATGAATTACAATACCTTGCTATATGACTTCTTTTTAATATACCTAGTAGTGCAATATGTAAACACACCTTCTCAACTTTAAACTGGCTGTATGGAAAATGGCACCAACAAATGAATATTCAAACTTTGGAAAACATTGCTAAAGTTTATTATTTAATCTTTCACAATTGAATCAAAAACTAAACAAATTAAAAGTAATGAATTAGATACCAATGATATCTATACATTAGTTAATTCTATGCTTTATAATTATGAAAATGATGATTCTTCAGATGATTCTCAAGACGATGTTGATCAACTCTTAGTTTTAAATTCGATTAATACTGCAATAAATGATTTAGAGTTGGAAATTAAAACATTTGTTGATTTTAATTTGCAAATATTTGAACTATTTAATAACAATAAGGACGATTTGACTGAAGATACAAGTTTTAAAAGTAATTATATAGAAAATTTTGAAAATTATGACCCAGAAACTATTATTTAAAATATGACATTTGACAAGGTTTTATATAAATCTATATTTATTGTTAACTGTTACAGTACTATAAATCTTACGAACTTATTTTTATAGAAATAATATTGTAAGAGCACTCTTTTTTCTATATTCATTGTGCAGAAAATAGGTTTTTTAATAATGCAAGCTGGTGTACACAATTAATACTATAATTCGAAAGTATACAAACGTAGTATTGTAGTATAGTTTTATTGCTTGAAATAATACAAAGGCTTCTTATTGATAATATTACAGTCAATATATTTTTGATAATAAATATAAAAACAAATTTGCTGTATTCCATAAATTGTAAAGATACATGAAGATTAGCATATAAATTGTTAATAAATATGAACAATTCAAAGATTGTAGTTTGATTACAAGTTTAAATTAGATAATTGCTTTATTTTTTTGAATTCGGAGTTCAAAAATCTTATCAATGAATTTAATAATTACATACTAACTTTCATATATATAATTTACACAACTTATAACTACTTACCGTATCTTCGCGTAATAACGCCCATGAGCGTTATTTCGAATTTGGCCCGAATTAAGCTTAAATTAGAGCAAAATTCGAAATTACACCCCTGCGCGTTATTACGCGAAAATACGGTAGCAATTTTGCAACTATATAATTTTGTGCTAATGCGTTCCTACAACCTTTTGCGATCCTGCAACTCTGCAACATTGTATCTTTTTGTGGCAAAATAGGTGTTCGCAAAGGTTGCAACTAATTCTGACGAGATGCAAAGTTGCAACCCTGCAGCAGGCAACTCTAGTCATTTGTTTTTCTTAGCTGTGAATTGCTTATGAAACTGATCATGAAGCCGCACAATATTTATAATCATTACGTATACAGTATCGGTATCACTTAATTTTTTTAAACCTGTACGTGATTGAAACTAGATTTGGATTAGCTTCGGGCATTATCGTTATCGTTATATAATTCCGAATAGAGTTTGAACTCGTATAAAATTTGGGATCCAAATTATCCACCCGTTTACAGCTATAATTTCTGAAACACTTGATAAAAATTAGCAGAATAATTTTTCTGCCGATTCGATTACAGTAGAAACTATTTATGTAATACTTATTCTATAGATCGTTAGAATGCCAAACAAATTTTCATTTGAATGCTTGTCCAACATTTTGGTGGGTCTAGCTTGCATGAAAATTTATGAAAATGGCTTTG